GTTGATATTGCTGCAAACACAGCTACGATCACGATGGATACTATAACACCAAACATCCCATCAAATATTAAATGACCAATCCAAAGTGAAGCTGGGTTAGCGATGCCATTAGAGAGCTGCATAGCTTGGACAGCCGAACGGCGCTCTTTCGTGACATATAAAGTGAAAAAGGCGGGGAAGACGCCCTAGAGATAGTTGAGTAAAAGTTTAACCATGAAGGAAGAAGAAAATACCATGGCTGCGGCAAAGAATCCGATCTGAAGGAAGGGCGGTTAGCATGATGGAAAGAAAAGGTCGGTGATCACTAACCCATTTCATCGGCACCAGTTGATCTGCTGATCGTGCCGCAAAGGGCATATAATTGATGGGATGTTTGGTGTTATAGTATCCATCGTGATCGTAGCTGTGTTTGCAGCAATATCAACACAGTTTAGCTATCACGGACTTTATGTGAGCTCTCTCCTCTTTGCTGACGCGAATTCTAACATCAATTCAGTGGTTCGTAATCGCATTGTATGGATACACGTCCATTCTTTTCGCATATTGCGTATCCTTGATCTCGGCCTCTGCACTTGCCGCGTTCTCGATTGTGGCTGGATATCAAGTGGTCATGTTCATGTAAGTTTTACATTGACGAACAAACCACTTACTAATGTGGAAGTTAGGCTCTATCTCTCCGCCTACCTTTTGACTCTCACATATGCGAAAACGTCGCAGACGGCCATTACAATGACAATCATTCGTCAGTCATTCTATAATACAATGATCCTCGAATCCTAACTGTATACCCACCTTCACTGACAGATTATACCATGTCTCTACTGGCGCCTGTCAATAGTTTGGTGCGTGCTTCGTCAACGTAATTGCGAGTGCAAGCTTCCGTTGATTGCCTCCTGAAAGTTTACTAGCCATCCTGTCTGCATATATCGACAACATCGTTGCATCCAGTAGCACTTCTATATTCTGCCGAAGTTCGTCGCCACTGTGGAGACCTTTTAGACGGCCGTACACTTGAAGGTGCTCTCGAACTGTAAGCTGACTGTCAATGGCCGTGAATTGGGGGCAGACACCCAAGGATACTCTGGCAGCCGCAGAGTGACGGGTAATGGACATGCCATTGATGAGGACATCTCCACTACTAGGGCTGATATCACCCCGAATCATATTGAACGTTGTAGTCTTTCCAGCACCGTTCGGGCCTGTAGGATCTATTAATCAAGATCATTCGGATAACCCACCAATAACGAACCTAATAGGGCACATATCGTTCCACGCTCCACACCAAAACTGACATCTTCTACGGCTTGGTTCGAACCAAACCTCTTCGAAACGTGTAGGACTCGAAGAGGGTCGTTGGATGTTTCTACATCTTGCGTTTCCCTCGCGACATCAGGAGGAACCGGTAAGTTTGAAG